TTTCCCACACTGAATCAATATGAAAACCCATTCATCGTGGGGTAGATGGCACGAATTAACTGATTTCTCTCACTAAAACGTTCAATTTCATTGAAACCACGCTTTTTCTCTGGCGATGATAGGAAACGTCATCCCGCAACCAACTAAAGGATTGTCAATATGGTTAAACTGTAGAAGGGAATGTCTGGGAGTTGCATTCCCTTTGTTTAGGTAGCATTCTGCCAAACTCCTACCGAACTCCTTCTTGATTGTCTCCTTTGAGGTGGAGTGGTTGAATGGTTGGCAAGGAGCAGCGTTGTGGGGGTTGCTGTCGGTCGATTCGTCACTTGATTACCTCTTCGGAGTGCCCGTTATCGATTTCCCCGCTCACTTGACGCCTCTTCACCTAGTTCACCAATCAACCGCTTGATTGGTCGGTAGGTCGCGGGGCGCCCCGAACACGCCGTTCAGCTTCTGGTCACTGGAAGCACCCAGGTAGGTAAGATGTTCAGGTAATTTGGCATCTCATCATCGTCTATTGTGAAGTCCAGGTCATTAGCGAACTCTCTTCGCCATTGGCAAGATTTGCTTGACTTCGTCCTTAGAGACGGGCACGTAAACAACACATTGGAATGAATGCATACGCCTTTATGCTCAAATTCTCAAATTGTAACCATTATATACAATTACTTTATTCGTTATGTTCTATCCTAGCCATTATACTTTCCAAAGAGGAAACTTGTTTACAACTCGTACTAAACCTTTCCTTGGAAAGTGAGCTAGCAAGTTTTTATAGTTTCCCATTACTTTAATGAATTCTAGAAACAGTCTATGCATATCTAAAAGACGAAGAGCTTTAACAATTTTCTCGTGTCGTGTTCATTAAGGCTATCGAATGTTATCCATGCGCTATGAAGGGACTTATGTGGGAAACAATCTGTGTATGATAGAAAATCATTCTCAAAAGTGTATTTTTTGTTCCCGTTAGTGTTTTTGTGTTGCAAACCTTTATAGTTTATACTACTTTTACACCAAGGAGTAGGTGGATGAGCGATGATTTCTTTACAGTTTTGATCAGGCCCTCGCAGTCGTTTTGCCAGGAATTCGTTCAAAATCACTGGGTTAAAGGGCCTTCAAAAACATTACTTCAAAGGGAAATAGTATAAACGGGTTGAAGGCAAGGTCAACACGTCCCTAGACGGGAGGTCGAACTTTCTCACTTCATAAATGGTTTTGAACTTCTATGGTTCTTGATTTACGTTTATTTTATTATTTCATGGATCCCAAACGGATCTGTAAGATCCACAGCACGAAAGACAGCTCATTGCCTACTTTCTGGTCTGACGGTATATCTGTTTGGGCTGAGTTTTGAAAAGTATAAATACGTTCTTCTTGAAAATCATTTGTGTCTTTTCACTAAGACGGCTTGTTTTAGCTTGCCCCACTCTTTACAGCGTGGTTTTCTTCGTTCGAGTAGGTGATGTCTTTTGATGCCACGATCGTTTTATGCTGGTCGCAATTTCATTTTCTTGATGGTCACCAAAATGGTTTAATGTAGTACTTCCACTCATTTTTTGTTATTCTTGTTCCTGATAATATCTATTCTTTCCAGTGATGTGATGATCACGACCTGGCATCACAACACGTCAAGTGTTTATCTATTTTGCTTGATGTTAATATAGAAAACACGAAATCATATTGCCTGTCCCTCCCACACTTGATCATTCTTAGATGTCCACTTTATTAATTAACTTTGAACGGACTCAATCGGTTGATCAATTCCCATTTACAGTCTCCGTACCTTCTTCATTTCTTTTCATATTTTTCTCTTCATGGTTTTCCGTGTCTCTTTTCGGGACGTTGAAAAGGACGTTGTTTTTTTGTTGCTACTTTGCTTCCGAAGCGTATTCAGTATGTAGTATGTGACCTCCGGATCTTCTCGCGAAAGTTTCTTAAAAGTCCTCTTCGTCAAAGACCTTCTTCATTCTATTCGAGATTATAATGGCATACTCTACATATAATGTTTCTCTATGGCAATTTTTTGCTCAAAATTTCTTGGTTTGTACCAAAGGTATGTATGTGTGCACTTGGAATAGTTCGAACTAAGGCGTCTATCCTCATATATCACTGACTGTTTTCTTCTCAATTATTCTGTCATCATGCCTTTTCGTGGAAAGTTTCTTTACGAAGAAAAACAGGCCTAGATAAGGGCGACATGTTACTGGAATCTATTCAACAAATTGCTCTTCACTTTGGACGTCCACTTAAATATATCAGAATATTAGTCCAGAATCCTGACGCATATCGCTCAACTAAGGACACGGGCCCTTTTTGTCTTCAATTGTTCAAGACATGCAGGATTGGCCCGAATCGTCCCAAATTTTCTTCACCTTTAAGCCAAGTTCAAATGAATCTATCGCTTCCAAGGATAGCCATTTGGCGTTCCATCCGAACGAATGAGGACACTATACGGGAGATGTTGGAGAAAGCGCTCGTCTGAGCCCCCAACGCAAATCTACAAAACGGGCGTTCGTCCCTGAAAACATGCTTAAATCTTGGGATGAATGCTTAGGTTTTTGAGAAAGGGCTAACTATTGAACAAACACTATCATTTACACATTTTCGGTTTGAGTCATTTTCGTTGGTGAGAAAAAGTTTAACCCTAATGCTCCGGATGCATTTCGTTGCTTATGGAGGAACCTCAAAAGAGGTATAGCAATAAGTAGAGTTTCTGGAAATTGGAATTCGCTTTCCTCCTTGCTATAAGGAAACTCATAAGGATCGAGAATCGTCCCAGTTTTATCCATTGTCATTCCTAACTGTAAAGCTTGATTAGCAGCAGGGCTTTGCTACAATCCATGTCTGTCGTTTTACTGGCGAGTGGCTTCAATGTAATGAGCTAGAGAATGGCCAATTTGTTCCGCTGTCTTTAACCTCATCGGAAACCCTATGGAGCGTCATCGTCAGGGTTGTTTCCCTGTACAATCTGCACTGCAGCAACATGATTGAGCTGAAGAGCTGCGAAGGCAGTATTGTCTACTTAGGACAAAAACAAGGAGGCAAGTGATGCCTATCATGTCCAAGGCATATATTGGTATACAAATCGATTTCTGAACTTATTTATGCTTCTACTTTTTTGCATTGTGTCTTTTACGACGAAAAATTCTTTTCATCAATAAAAAAAACATGTATTTCTGCCTGTGTGAGGTGGAAGAAAATCAAAATTGTTCCTTTAGGCAAAAATTTTGACGTAAAAATATACCTTTGATACGCATTGTGTGTTAAGATTGTCATTGATGCCTCTCGTTTTTTCGTGGTCGTATGTGTCGTTCTGCCTCTCTTTTAGCAACTTTTTCGGTCTTTTCAATGATTAGTATTTTTTCTTTCAGCTAGTCTATCTACGACTGGTTATTCCCGACGATTTGAAACTGCACTGAATCGTCGGACAAAGTGATAGTTTCACTCTTACTGATGAGCCTGTGATAATCCGTTTACTATTACTGATCTACGTCTACGTCAGCCTTCCGGTCAAGAAGCTACACCTGAGAGCCAACAACATCTTCTTGTGTCTGTCTATCGATTACACATCGAACGGCTATTATTGATCTTTCGGAGCGGTTTCGCTCGATGACCATGGCACACGTGGACAGTGAACGTCCTATGTCGAACGGATGCGAAAATAATGGTGATGCTATGCTCGAGCCAATGGACTTAAGCTCTCCTGTAAGTTCTGTGCTTTGAACTAATATTATTTGAGAATTATTCATCATTCAAAAAATTTTTATTGCTTCCGTCTTGGGGTTGTTAGAAATGGATCGAATAAGTTTTTTTTGATGAAGATATTTCACCCGTGTTTCATGAATTTTAGGCGCGATTCAGTAAGGGGTTTTCGTTATAATTATCCGAATCAGTAGCGCACCCTTGCATTGACCTCAAGGATCATAACAGGCCCAGTACTATTTCTAGAAAGTGGGAAGAGATATCACAAACTCAGTCTGACAGAGGGGATCTATCCGTGATTGTAGGCAAACTGCGTACAGAGATAGGTGTCGCGTGCCCTTTCACGATTCACCACCGAAACCCGCTGTTTTACCAGCCTAACCCTTTTGTAGACTGGATAGTGGCCAGTAATGCATTACCACATATACATGGTCCAGGGATCGAGGCACAGTCGGGATTCCATCAAAGCTTTCTATCCTTCCTGAGTGGGTTATCTGGTACCCGACTCGTCAAAACACTGGCTGATACATCGGTTGGCGCCCGGAATTAATTTTGCAGGATACATACATATTTAAATCGCTGCTCATTTTGAATGGAAGTCAAATGCGAAAGCGCATTTTTCGAGCGGGATTCACCGCAAAAAACAAAAAATCACCCTTTTGAATTTTTTGTATGCTTATCTTCACCAATTTATCCACGTTAGCGCTTTCAAATATCCCCTGCTAATACCATTCCAGTACAGTGGCATTCCTAACATTCACAGAAAACTCCGTTTCTAGGTGATAACATCCAAAGGATATAATTTTGGGGCTTTAGTCAATCCCGTTGAGGGATGTGACCACGCATTCGACTTTCATTCGGAATCGTAGTGGCGTATTGAAGCGGTGTGGCTTATACAATGACTTTCGGTGGTCAACCGTTGTATAAGTCAGTGTTTTATCCTTCTAGACAAGTCTGGTACCAATTAACCGACCCCGGGGGAAGGAAGACTTGGTTGGCCTAAGCGGACATTGATCCGGGATTCGAACCCGTGACCATACGTGTGTTAAGTGCGCCACTGGCCACTACACCACCGCCCTGTTTTAAGTGATAGTGATAGAAAATTCAAAAAAAAACAGCTCATCAGAACTGGACGCGTTTTTGACTTGGGTTATTCACGTAACCGCAATATTCATGTAATGTCAGAGTTGAGGAAGGTTATCATATCTTCACTTTGGGAATATCATATCTTTCCAGCTTTCAATTTGAGTCCTTTGTTCACCAGAAAGGGTTGTTCAACTCAAACACATTATTCACTTCAGATGCCTAACGGTACTCCAACGAAAACATCGCTGGAATTCGCTGATGGCCAGTTGTCACCTGCGTCGTTGCGACGTCGCAGTACTCGTGCCAGTGCGCTGAAAGCGCAAGAGAAGATTAAACTCAAAGATGATGTAATTGTCACGGCGAACATGGATAGGGTATGTTATTAGTGAGCAGCAGATGTTTTTAAGTAGTTACCTTAGTCATCATTACAAGTAATAATTTGGTGCCATTGCCCTATAGGTGAAAATGTAATGGGGGAGTGGGTAGGCAGAGATTTGGTGGGGGAGGGGGCCAGTGCCAGTGTAATGAGTAATCAACTATGTGTTACTTGTTGATCTTTGTTATACTAGAATTGTATCAGGGACGAAGATTAGAATGGGCAGCGGCCGTCTGAGCACTTTTAAGCGGTTCGGACCGGAGGAATGTAGTTTTTTGATTAAGCTTAGGAGGGTTGGAGCACTGGGGGAGGGTTAGATGATCACTTCGTGCCAAAAGCTGAAAACTCGCCCTTTCCAGTGCTCCTACCCTCCTGCCCTCCTGGAGGCTTAGTTAAGAATTGTATGTGATTTACACGTGATTATGATTTTATAATACGGAATAACACGCAACACTGTGTTAATTTATACTAACACTTGTGTGTGTGCCCCCCCCCCCCCCCCCCCCCCCCCCCCCCCCCCCCCCCCCCCC